TTTTTAAGGTGCTGGAGAGTCATTCTAATCTCGCTCAGACTGACGTCCGGGATATCTTCGGAATAGTGTCGGATGAGACTCGCTCTTGGATCGTTACTCACACTTGCGTGTGGCTCCAACGATGACGTGTACAACTGCCCATAGAACCTCTCAATCTCACTCAAAATCTCAGGTGCCCCGGAAACGATGCTGCCACACTCGGTCCTCAGCCTTGACAGTTGGCTCTTTATGGCAGACAGATCTCTGGCAAAGACTTTGGAGCCTTGGTTCCGCTCGATCGCTTCTTCAATACGAGCTGTATTGAAGTTGCGTAAGTCCCGCCACATGCATTTGGAGATCTGTCTGTTCAAATGCCTGTATGCTGTCAAGTCTGTTGAAGAATGTAGCTTCATCTCCCGTCTAACAGCCAACATGATTATAACAGCGAAACATGATTATCATCTGTTATATTTTGAAATTCAAAACGTTTAAGCGATGTACCAAAATAAAGGATTAACTTTAACATGCTAGGAATTGAAAATAATAAGTGACATTTTTGTGTTCTAATGTGTTGATCAGTGTTGCAGTTTGCTCCGAATACTGTGTGGTCGACAAGATTGGCGTTTGATGTGGAGAGATTCGTAGAAGTCTCTACAACAATGATCAATGAGGAAGATGTTGTGACGGCTAATCGAACATGGACAGGTACGGCCGAGCGCTAGTAAGATTGAGCCTACACCGCTACAGTCTGTAACTTATCGGCAGATCTTACGGCAAGGCAATTCAAGCGGCTGCCGAACACATGGTCCTTTGGTGCTGTAAATGAACGTCTGAGGCTTGGTCGGCTTTCGTAGATTTTGCGCAGTTGCCTCCTTACCTTTGAAATATGTGATGGTATCCGTCTCTACACATAGTTTCCGTTTATTGCAATGTTTTCAAATGTCATACAGTTGCCGTTTCTTAAGAGAATGTGTTGAATTTTGGAAACTCGGAATTCCATGGTTTGCAATACATTTATCTCGATTTCTTTTAATTTTGCAAAGCAGTGCGACGATTCACTAGCGCTAGTACGGCGCGACGGCTTGCTGGCGCGAATGTGGCACGAACGCAGCAGAACAAAAAGCTGTCGTGCGTTTGCCTGGAGGTAGCCATATCGGTGCGTTCTAGACTTAAATGAAGTCTGGGATGGTCGACCGTTGTAATATTTAACAAGAATTAATATCTGTTAGCAGGTGGTGATAACTGATAGACCGTATGCTGTTCACTGTCAACCGCACGAGGACGTGCGACAGTCAGAGCCGTGTCTGTGCATCTAGAAAATACTAGAGACGTTGCAACACGCTAGCGAAGTAATTATTCTAGTGCAGGAAAGGGACATGAAGTTGCAGGGAGGCTGGTCTGTGCTGCACTGGGATATGGGTCGTGTTGCTGTTGGTTTACATACTTAGGTGATCACTACGTCCTTAACGATACACTTGAGTGATTGTGACGGGGACATGTTTGCGGTATGGTTGGTCTGTAACTGTTCTATACTGAATTGAAAAAAAAAGAGAGTGAGAAAAAAATGTGGTTCTTACTATCATTGCAGGGTGTTTGCCGGTCCAATGATATAGCTACAGGGAATAGTGATTCCGGACTAGCATAAATAGTACTTGAAAAAAAAAAGCGTAAGAAAAAAAATAGTTCTTAGTATCATTGCAGGGCTTTGTGCCGGTCCAATGATATGGCTATAGGGAATAGTTATTCCGGACTAGCGAAAACAGTACTTGAAAAAAAAAAAGAGAAAATAGAAAAAGCTACAGACTAATCATTCCGATCAAGCATAAAGTAGATTAAAGTTTTGTAGGGCTTACTGCCGGAACAAAACTGATTGTCGCCTAAGTCTGAAGGGTCAATATAGACCGGACCAGACGCTGTTATGTCAGGATAGTCGAACGATGTTTTTTTGTCTGCAGATAACTAAAATTGTGATGAAGCGCGTGCGAGGACGCACGCATGTCAGTATGGCCGTGACGGCACGTGCACCATTGCACGTGCGGCGCCGTTGGTGTAGCTATACAGAGTTCTTATAAATAACACGTGTTCCGCACACCTGCACCGTTGCACCTGCGGTGACGCCCGTTTTGCTTGTATAAAACGGACGGAGCGGCCGCCGTTAAGACACGTCTTGGCTCTGACGTGGAACGGTGCGCTTGTCGTATTCCGTTACTAGTTTATCCTCGACTCGTTGGATAATTAATTCGTGTAAACGAATTAATTACTATTCCTAACTACAAAATCAGTCTCTGTACCCTACCCATTATACTTCCTACATACACATTTGTTATGAAAATTTGGTACATTTTGTTTAATAACTTTTTTAAATGTAAATATATTGAATAACCTTTATCACATACTGATAAAGGACCAAAATGCCTATTTAATAGTGTATAGCGTGTTAGTGTAAAAATTAGCCTTGTATAGAAAATATTGCGATTTGTGCTAATTACATAATGAAAATGTTTAAAAATAAAGAGGCAAAACGGAAAATGGCAAGCGGCTCTGTATACAGTATAGCCGAAGTCTACCTTATGGGGGCAAATCACAGTAACGTTGTAGTAGGAAGAACTACCAGTAACAAGCAGTAGTATCCGGTTGTAGCTGAAGTGACTTGTAGCAGAACACAGTGAACAATTATAGTGAAATAGAAAAAGTTTAGCTAGCCGAAAAAGGTCGTAACTGAAAATCGCAGTTACACATAGTCGAAAAAAGTGGCAACTGAAAATTCTCAGTTGCATATAGTAAAATAGTGTTAGCTAGCCGAAAAAAGTGGTAACTGAAAATTCGCAGTTACATATAGTAAAAAAGTGTTAGCTAGCCGAAAAAAGTGGTAACGGAAAATTCGCCGTACATATAGTGAAAAGTGTTAGCTAGACGGAAAAGGTGGTAACTGATATTCGCAGTTACACAAGTGTTAAATTCAACTAATTTTATTTGATTAGAAAGAAGTAGTGTTAGAAAACCAGCTACTACCAATAAATATTTTGATACTACCACTACATATTTGTTACTTCCAATAGATATTTGATATTACCAATAGATATTTTGAAAATACCAATAGAAATTTTAATACCAATAGAAATTTTAATATTACCGCGAATTTTTAATTGAATCTTTTGAAATATATAGTGACCAACTTATAGTGAACAACCGTAGTTGAACAACCGTGTTCAACAACCGTGGTCAATAAATAAATAGTTATAAAATTTCGCGACTAATTAATCAGTCGAACCGCTGGCCACTCCCTTGCTATTTTAATTTATAAATCGTGCATTTTAATTTTGAACCTCAGTCCACAGTTCTCCAGCAGCATACACAAAGGCGGCAGTGAAAGTATCCTCCGGAACCTATAGGTGTAGGACGTGAGCGGCTCGCGGTGTATCTTCGACAACATTTACTCCGGAGAGTTACGCCCGTCCGGCACAGTACGCAACCCTCGTCGATACACACTCAATCTTTACAACGTTGTTAACGAGAGACTTGTGGACGATAAATCCGACACCTCCTTGGGACAGATGGTCGCCCTCCCGGTAATAGAGCAAGTTGCCGGATTCGAGGATTACCGAGTCCTCTCCCTCTCTTCGGACTTCGGATAATCCTATAATATGCCAGCGTAACTTGTCTATCTCTTCTTCCAGCTCCACAATCTTCTCGTCAGTCCTCAGGGTGCGTGCGTTGTAAGTTGCCAGGTCGAGTCGTCGTAGGTGGCAACCGAACCTCCACCGGAGATTCTTAGCACCCCCTGCCCCGCCGTTACCATGGTCGCCACCGTAGCCAGGAATAGCGGGGCCGTCGAGGACTGGGGACCGTCTCTTCGTAACTTTCATAAAGGGGGGTATATTGCCATAGTTGCTACGCTTGGCGAGCGTGTTGGCAACCGCAGTTTTTATTGTACTTTTGCCGTTACCAGGAAGATGCTGCTGCCCATCTCCTGTCTGTTTCCCTTTGTCGCCTTTTATGACACCCACGGGAAGATATGGGGTAGTGGATATTCTTAACCGCCACTACACGGCCAGAATATATATATTTATTTAATAGAAACATAGAATAGTGAACGGCAGGGTCGGGAAGGGACGCCCTAGACGAAGGTTTATCGACCAAATCGGCGATACATTAAAAATGGGCCAGATTAGGAGTACCCATAACCGACGAGCGTGTATGCGTAAATATATGGATGTAAAAGAGGCGAGAGAGGTGTGTCAGGATCGCGCCAAATGGAAGTCCGTAGTCTCTGCCTACCCCTCTGGGTGACGGGCGTGAGTGTTTATGTTATGTATGTTTATGTATGTAGAAACATCAGAATATATATATTTATTTAATAGTTTATGAATACACACACTTTGATTGGAAAATAGTGATAAAAACACATAAACAAAGACACTACTTATTACAAATTCCATTACTTGTCAATCAAATATTTTCATACTAATTTAATAAAATATTTTTTTTTTATAAGATAGGGTGACAAACGAGCACACAGTCCACTTGATGGTCAGTGGTTGCTGTGGCCCAAGGACATCTACATCTATCTTCGTTTGCGATTTAAAATGCAGATGCGTTTTCACCCGTGAGGACTAAGATGGAATGCTTCTTTTCCAGTAAAAAGGGTCTCCGGTTCTCTACACTCACTATACGAAACACAGTAGTGTTAAGCTGCTATTTGACGCTGGTATTCTGTGAGAGCGTGGTCCTTCTCCGGTCGAGCCGACCCATTCGTGTTACAACTATACTTCTAATATAGCTGTAGCATGGCTGTACCACGTACAAGATTATACTGTAAATTAATTTTATTTAACATACATACTACGCCAGTCATGTTTTAATTGTAATACTCTGTACAAAATGAATTGCCAGGATTAAAAAACCAGTCCTGCAGGCTTTTTTCCCAGGACAAAGGTTTCTTCCGAAGCAATGGTAACATTTAATCAACTCTGAATAAGTATGCTTGAACTTTATTATGAATAAAAATTATTCCACTCTATTCAATAATTGCGTGACTGCAAAGTAAGGCAACACTGACCATTCCTTGCGGCTCGCGCTGCTCGTCTAGTGCGTCGAGCGGCGCGACGAGTGCGGCGTGCACTGCGGGAGCGAGGCGCGCGGGACGAGCGTGCGGCGGAGCGGCCGGCGGAGCGTGCAGCGGGGCGTTCGCCCGAGCGGCCGCCCGACCGCGAGCCCTCCACGCGCGCCCACAGCGCCTCGAACAGCGACGACAGACGCACCGTCATCGAGTATATCTGTTCGAGTTCAAAAATATCGTAAATTGTAAATAGAACACACGCACATCGATGGAATTTACTCTACTCAATAAACGAATATTGTACCACTCTTATACCAAATATTTCAAGCGAACTAGGAGTGATTAAAGGGAATATTAGTGATGTTAACAGCATTGCTAGTTTTATTAAAAACAAAATTAAAACAAGGGATCACGTGACAACGTCAAAGTGAAAGTCAAATATTTTAATTCAAGATTGGATTTTACAAACCACCTTTCGAAAGTCAAATGTTACGCCATCTTTTCAACAAATCCCTCTTGCGGGATAAACTTGTAAGAAGAAGCGGCGACAAACTCAATAGTAGACTATTTTTGTCCTAATAGTTACTATATATTCTTATAATATATAATATACATACACTTTTCAATTTTCATCCTGGTAGAGCCATGCTGCAGCTATTTATTTATTTATTTATTTATTTCATATATTTGCATAAAACATGGACAGATAAGAATAGTACAATTCTTAAAGCACAACATATTTTGCTATGTGATTGTGATAGCATGCAAATTTACATAAATAGCACATATACAAATGAAATTTTCTAATCATAATACAAAACAATTAGCCTAAAACATATAAAATCATAAACAAAGATTATCAATTCATTAAAAAAATATATATATTTACATTTTTAACAAATAGGTCTCTGATGTCATAAAAATTATTTTCATTGAGATAAGTCAATAATTTTTTTTTAAATAAATTATTATTATTCGATTTGATTTCATGTGGTATTTTATTATAAATTTGAATACACATGGTTAAACAGCTTTTACTATATTTGTTTGATCGCGGTACATCATCTAATACAAGTCTATTTGCATTTCTTTTTAGTCTTATATTCATATCATATGCCTTTGTAAACAGATTATTATGTTTATGTACGAAATTACAAACTTCGTAGATATACAGAGATGGTAGTGGCAACAAACCTAGGCTCCTAAATATTGGTTTGCATGATTTATCCGGTGCGATTCCAGCAATAGCTCTAATGCATTTCTTTTGTGCAGTAAATAATCTCTGTTTATCTGTACCATTGCCCCATATTACAACACCATAACGTAGTAAAGATTCTATGTAAGCGTGATACGTTAGAACAGCAGTTTTTTTGTCTGTAACATTTTTTACTTTATTAAGTGCATAAACAAATTGGTTAATTCTACTGCATAGGTGATGTATGTGACCTTTCCAGCTTAAATCTTGATCGATTATTACTCCTAGGAATTTAGTTTGTGTTACTTCGTTTAATTTGTCTACTATATTAGTAGTATAATTAAAACACAAATGGGTCGGTTCGACCGGGGAAGGAAAACGCTCTCACAGAATACCAGCGTAAAATAGCAGCTGTTTTTCGTATGGTGAGCGTAGAGAATCGGAGATCCTTTTTACTGAGATACAGCATCATTTACATCGTCAAATGAGTTTTCACCTCTTTCAATTTTAAATACAAAGAGATCAGCAAATACTACTGTTTCACATAAGTTTTTGCTATACAAAAAAAATCATCTATATGTTTATAAATATTAAAAAGAGTAATGGTCCCAATTATGATCCTTGGGGCACGCCCATAATTAAGGGCTAATTGATTTTTGCTAATTGCTTCAAAAAGACCCAGTTCTATTAATAACTCCTTTTTGCAGCCGGCCAGATAAGTATGACTTTACAAGGTTAACCGGGTTTTTTAAAGGCATAATTTGTTTAACAGTATATCATGATTTACGCAATCGAATGCCTTAGATAGGTCTCAAAAACACCTACAGCATCCTGTTTACACTCCCAAGATTCAAATATGTGTTTGAGAAGTGCAATGCTTGCGTCAGTAGTACTTTTACCGTAATGACTGCTGCAATAGTTAATTTAACGCATATGAAAGAGATGATATTCCGTGTTGTGGTGGAGTAAGAATATCCACTACCCAATATTATCCCGTGGGTGTCGTAAGAGGCGACAGAAGGAAACAAATCATGAGATGGCAGTAACGCCTTCCTAATAACGACAAAAAAATGTAACAGTAACAGTGGTAATAAAACAAAAGAGTGACGTTCAATAAGTATTATTTATAATCTATATTGAATAAAAAAGTTTCTGTTTCTAACTCAAATAACTGGGTTAACAACCCGCTTGCAGTAGACTTTAATAGGATGTAACGGTAACTGAGACGGATGATTAATGAGTGTGTGTGTGTGTGTGTGTGTGTGTGTGTGAGAGACAGAACGAGTGTGTGTACTTACTCGCGGATTGTTAATGTGGTGTGTGTGTGAGAGAGATAGGAGTGGTGTGTACTCACTCGGCTGCGCTTGTCGGTGTTGTAGAGGCGGCTGTTGGAGAAGACGAGCCGCACGTCGCGCGCGAACTGCTCCGGCCGCGTGTAGACGCCACCCGTGAGCCGCGCCCGCACCGTGCCCAGGTCCATCGGAGTGGCCACCACTCGCGCGTAGTCTGTACACACCCGCGCCCATTATCATCCCCTTTCACATTTGTTGGAGCCACGCTGCAGCTATATCATGCGTACGAATGGGGAAGGACCGCGTTCTCAAAAAATACCAGCGTGAAATAGCAGCTTAATATGTTTCGTATGGTGAATGTCTCTACACTCAACATACGAAACACATTAGGCTCTCCATCCGCCGACGCGCTCAGCTCCGCCAGCAGCGCGCCGCACCGCGACACTTGTGGGTTATGCAGGAGGTGCAGGAGTGCAGGAGTGCAGGAGTGCAGGAGTGCAGGAGGTGCAGGAGGTGCAGGAGGTACAGGAGTGCAGGAGTGCAGGAGGTGCAGGAGTGCAGGAGGTGCAGGAGGTGCAGGAGGTGCAGGAGGTGCAGGAGGTGCAGGAGGTGCAGGAGGTGCACGGACCTGGCGCCTGCAGCGGGGACACGGGCCGGCGGAACGGCTGCGCGTCCGCCGACGCGCTCAGCTCCGCCAGCAGCGTGCCGCACCGCGACACTTGTGGGCTATGCAGGAGGTGCAGGAGTGCAGGAGTGCAGGAGTGCAGGAGTGCAGGAGTGCAGGAGTGCAGGAGGTGCAGGAGTGCAGGAGGTGCAGGAGGTGCACGGACCTGGCGCCTGCAGCGGGGACACGGGCCGGCGGAACGGCTGCGCGTCCGCCGACGCGCTCAGCTCCGCCAGCAGCGTGCCGCGCCGCGACACTTGTGGGCTATGCAGGAGGTGCAGGAGTGCAGGAGTGCAGGAGTGCAGGAGTGCAGGAGGTGCAGGAGGTGCAGGAGGTGCAGGAGGTGCAGGAGGTGCAGGAGGTGCAGGAGGTGCAGGAGTGCAGGAGGTGCAGGAGGTGCACGGACCTGGCGCCTGCAGCGGGGACACGGGCCGGCGGAACGGCTGCGCGTCCGCCGACGCGCTCAGCTCCGCCAGCAGCGTGCCGCACCGCGACACCCAGCGCGCACCGCCCCCACTCCCACCGCCGCCGCCCGACAGCTTCTGTTCAAGTTCACACTTCTCAACAAGAACAAATCAAACTCACCAACTTGAACATCTAAATACTAATTACATACATCTTTAAAAAATACATACGGGAGGTCTATAATTCAGCAGGGGAATTTGATAAGTTATACTAATAATAAACACACAAAACCACCAAATACTGTTATATTCAACGACATATAACCACCACTCGACAATATCTATACAACAGTGTTTTAAAGTGAACATTTCTTCAGACACGTTGGGCACTTTTGGCATGGATAAAAAACACGGAAGTCGCGTAACCATCTCGCTCAAATGCATAAAATTGATAAAAGTAATGTTGGAAATCCAATTGATTAAATTTAAAAAAAAAATTATATACCGGGTGTTAATGAAACGCTAACGAAAACGAAGACAGACGATAGTACTAACGATACCTCTGATGATGGGTAAAAAATAAAATCGATCCCGAGGGAAAAAATCACCTTTTCTCAACTTTTTATAAGCTTTATTCACGCTCCATCTAGTTAGTACATCTAAATGAAACGATAATTTCATAAAAAACATATCATAAAAATACTTAAACACAAAACCAGAAGTCACACTTAAAATAAAATCAGCTGACAATATGGTCAGTATTCTCGCGGACGCCACTCTTATCTAGCTCGGTGCGAAACAATGCCTACTAACTCTACCCTTCCCTTTCACACGCGTGCTACCACCGCCCGGCCGACTCGTGTCGCCTTGCGCTGTGGAATTTACACATGTCTCGCTTTGCCAACATGTGGGGAATTCCCAAAAACGCGGGGAATTTAAAATTGGTTGGGGATTTTATGGGGATTGGTATTATGGGGGGAAAATACGGGGATTTTGAAAATCGATAGCCAGGGCCAAGTCAGAATCTTTTTTCAAGAAATCTTATTGCCTAATTTGATCAGCGGCCAGCGCTCCGAGTGGTAGTTCGGAGCTATTCTATATATACTGCTTTAATTTCGGTACTTTGTTAGCGCGATTTAGGCTTCGATGTGTTTCGCTTGTGGCACGACGACAGCGCCGCCACACTTATCTTAACATTTTGTTAGGTTACTTATTAATATCGCATGGCTCCCTTTTTTTAATTATCTTCATTGAACCACATTTAATGCTTTTCATTTATTATTTTTTTATAAAAAAAAGCTTAGTTAAAAGGTAAATCTTATAAAATTAGTTGAAAATGGTTTCATTTCTTACAATAAAATTGAGGGGAATTTATGGGGAATCTGTTGAAGTTTTGTCCTGAAATTGGGAAATTTGAAATGAATTTTTGGGGAATTAGACAAATTGGTGTTGGCAACGCTGCCGTATTGCACCGAAATTTACCTACTAAGATTTATTTGCCGGCAACATAAGAATTAGAGGCGACAATCGCTATAAAACTTGCAAGTAATTTTTAATAAGTTTGACGTACCTCTTCTTAAATTCAAATTATTACATACATACATAATTATAATCACGCCTCTTTCCCGTAGGGGTAGGCAGAGACCACTTCTTTCCACTTGCTACGATCCTTACATATTTGTTTCGCTTCGTCCACTTTCATTATTCCCTTCATACATGCTCTTCGGTTTAGGGTACTCATGACCTGACCTTTTTTCAAGACGTCCCTGATTTGGTCTAAAAACGTCCGCCTAAGTCTACCCCTTCCAACACTTTCATTCACACTCGCCTTATACACCTTATTCGTCAATCGTTCTACATTCATTCTCTCGACATGGCCAAACCATCTCAGCATACCTTTCTCAATTTTTGTCACTACATCTTCTTTCAGACCACAACGTTTCCTTATCTCACTATTTCTAATTCTGTCACTCAGTTTAACTCCTATCAAACTTGAGGATACTGCTCACACTGTTCACGGACAGTGCTGACCACAATTGATTCCTCACCACTCTATCATAGGCCTTTTCTAGATCCACGAATGTGCAATAGGCCTTTTTGTTTTTAGCCAAACACTTTACGGCTATGCACCGCAAGGAAAAAACCTGATCCATACATCCCATTCCCTTTCTAAATCCCGCTTGTGCATTCCATACTTTTTCGTCTGTTTCATTCACAACCCTTTCAATCAACACTTTCGCATACATAGGCTGCACTAAAAGTATCGGGAATGGAATATTTCCACTGTTCCTGTCATATTAAAATATTTTTAATTGAAAACTCCTTGGTTTTAAAAATCGAATACCATTTATTTATTTAAAAAAAGATTCTCGGTCTTGTCACAAGGTTTTGTCAAACTTATTTAGTCGTTGAGAAAATGGAATTGACTCGAGAAAATTCAAGAGCGATGATTTAATATGACTTTCGAAGTGTTTTAACACAAAAACAGTGTGTTGAACGGATGATTTCTGCATTTGGTGATGAAGCCCCATCCAAAACCACAATTTATCGCTGGTTTGCTGAATTTCAACTTGGACGTGTCAAGCTCAGTGATGATCCCCGTCAAGGTCGTCCAAAAACTGCAGTCACCCAAGAAAACGTTGATGCTGTGCGTAAGCTGATTGAGGAAGATCGACATGTGACATACCGCAAAATTCAGGCAACTTTAGACATTGGCATGAGTCAAATACAAATAATCTTGCATGAACAATTAGGTGTAAAAAAGTTGCTTTCCCGATGGATACCGCATTCGCTCTGTTAAGAGCAAAAAGCGGTTCGCGTTACTTGGTGCGTCAGAACTCTCGAAAGATTCCACGCAGGATCCTCAAATGCTGTATACAACATCGTATCAAGTGACGAATCCTGGATATACGCATACGAACCAAAAAGAGCAAGAAAACAGAATTATTAGACCATCCGCCGTACAGCCCCGACCTAAGCCCTAATGATTTCAATACTTTCCCTAAAATAAAGAATAAATTGCGTGGACAGAGATTTTCATCACCTGAAGATGCTGTGGACGCCTACAAAACGGCCATTTTGGAGACCCCAACTTCCGAATGGAATGGTTGCTTCAATGATTGGTTCCATCGTATGGAAAAATGTGTCAAATTTCGCGGAGAATACTTCGAAAAGCAATAAATACATTTTTAAATAGTAATGTTGTGTCACTTCCTTGATTCCCGAAGTTTTCAGTGTCGCCCTCGTACAATTTACCGACGACGCTGAGAAGGCATCATCATCTTCATCATCATTACAGCCTTTCACAAATCCAATGCTGAAAATAGGCCTCCCCAAGGAATGTCACTAAGCACGGTTTTTTTTTATAGGATAGGGTAACAAACGAGCACACAGTCCACCTGATAGTAAGTGGTTGCTGTGACCCATAGACATCTACATTTACCCTCAATGAAGAATAAAAATGCAGATGCGTCGTCACCCGTGAGGACTAAGATGGAATGCCTCTTTTCCAGTAAAATGGATCTCCGGTTCTCTACATTCACCGTACGAAACACAGCAGTATCAAGCTGCCATTTGACGCTAGTATTCTGTGAGAGCGTGGTCCTTCCCCGGTCGAGCCGACCCATTCGTGCTACAACTATACTACTAATGTAGCTGCAGCATGGCTCTGCCACGTATAAAATGGTCCTGAGCCACCTGCATCCATCGACTTCCTGCATGTCTTACCAGGTCGTCATTCCATCTAGTGGGGGTCGCCCTACACTTCTCTCACTTTCTTCTCACTTTTTTAGTTATTGCGTCTATAATAGATACAATCGCGCCTCATTTTTTTTAATGCTAGTATCGAATCTGGTATGTTTCCTGATTTAATAAAGTATAGTAAAGTAATACCTTTATTTAAATCTGGTAGTACATTAGACCCCGCCAATTTTAGACCTATTTCTGTACTACCAACACTTAGTAAGATTTTTGAAAAAATTGTTCTTGATCAAATGTTAAATTTCAAATGTAAAATAAATGGGTGTGCTTCACGGCTCAATTCTCGGCCCTTTTCTGTTTCTTGTATACATTAATGACTTACCTTACATAGTACGAGATAACCATGATATAGTATTATTTGCAGATGACACTTCTTTAATTTTCAAATTAAGTCGACAATTGCTAAAATATGACCAAGTAAATCATCATCATCATCATCATTACAGCCCTTCACAAGTCCACTGCTGAACATAGGCCTCCCCCAAGGAATGCCACAAAGCACGGTCCTGAGCCACCTGCATCCATCGACTTCCTGCATATCTTACCAGGTCGTCACTCCATCTAGTGGGGGGACGCCCAACACGTCGCCTGCCGGTACGAGGCTGCCACTCGAGAACCTTTTTTCCCCATCGGTTGTCGGTTCTTCGAGCTATATAGCCGGCCCATTGCCACTTCAGCTTACTAATCCGTTGGGCTATGTCGGTCACTCTGGTTCTACTGCGGATATCCTCATTTCTGAGTTTATCACGCAGAGAAACTGCAAGCATAGCCCTCGCCATAGCTCGCTAAGTGACCTTGAGCTTCCTCATACGGCCAGCAGTGAAGGACCACGTCTCAGTTCCGTATGTCATCACTGGCAACACGCACTGGTTGTACAGTCTCGTTTTCAAGTTTTGAGGTATACCTGACGAGAAGATGTGCCGTAATTTCCCGAACGCTGCCCAACCGAGTTGAATCCGTCGATTGACCTCTCGGTCGAAGTTGGACTTACCTAGTCGGACTATGTTTCCCAGGTAAACATACTCGTCAACAACTTCGAGCTTAGTGCTCCCAACAACTACCGGCATTGGTGTGACATGGACATTAAACATGATCTCTGTTTTGTCCATGTTCATCTTAAGACCTATCCGTTGGGAAACACTATTGAGGTCAAAAGCTTTTACAAAAATTTACTTCGCAAATATCCGCGTTATAAAATAAAATGATGTGTCCTACCTAGTATGAAGAAGCACCTTCCGCCCTCCCTCAATTGCGTGCACTATCCCCGTCACCACTAATCCCAGCACCGCTACTTCCAACACCACTACACTAGGCAAGACACACCACTGACGATAATACGACACGTGTTTCGCCTCTACACGAGGCATCCTCAGGTG